CTGATGTCAACGAGAAAATTGAAATTTTAGCTAGAACGCACAAACGTATATCGACGGTGAAAGTCGGCAATCACATAATTCGTTTGCGGTGTCTGTAAATTTCCGCCTCTACGTCATTTTTTTAAAGGAGAGTAAATTGACATTATTTCTTGAAGTTTTTGCAGAATTTTCTTCACATTGAGAAGAAAAATCATGACAGTTTTAAAGAATTGCCGTTGAGTACACTCAAAAATACCTCCGGCCGTGCGAGCCGAAAGTAATGGACCCGGAGCACGGACTGTACGGGCTATATACAGCTACCGTCCGTTCCGCGTCCGGGGGCCGGAGTACTCCGGGCGCCGAACGCCCGGACCACTCCGGACGCGCAGCCCGGAATTCGCGGCTGTGAAGGTCATTCACCGATGGCTTCCATAGCCGCGAATTCCGGGCTATCAAAACACGGAATGCTCCGGGCAGACGCTAATTTTTTTATCTAGGTACATACTTCTTTGTTAATAGTTCATGACAATTTAATTTCAGGAATGTAATGGATGCATCACTGACTGAGAAAGATTCAGATCAGATTCAGATTTCATTTATTAATAAATAAAATAAATGAAATCTGAATCTGATCTGAATCTTTCTCAGTCAGTGATGTATCCATCACATTCCTGAAATTAAATTGTTATGAACTATTAACAAAGAAGTATATACCTATTTTAAAAAAAAAGAAAGAAAGAAAAGGAGCATATGAACGTTAGCTTGTTGATCATGTTTGAGATATCAAGAGAGATTTGAACTTCTTGGCTGATAGTTCAGCAAGTTTGAGAAAAGAGATAAGTAATTCTCTTATTGAGTAAGCAAAGCAGCACATGAATGTTAGCTTATTCATCTTGTAAAAAAATCGAGAGAGATTTTCAAAAACCTAACTTTAATGTTGCAAGCCTTCCTAGAAAAAAATAAAGCACTCTGATTTTTAGATACCAGAATGAACTTGGCTTGGAAGTATTCGGCTGATTCTTAACTTTGCAAAATATACCTTGGAATTTATTTTTAGGGCAAAGATGAGTAAAGTTCATAGATTTGAAACAGTTGCCTATTGCTTACTAAGTCTGTGAAATACTTGTCAATGTTTCATGGATAAAACAAACAAAAAATTGGAAAATTATTCCTCTCAGCCATCAATATTCAATTAACTGGGTACAACGTTATGGAAATAGTCCAACCACTGAGACATGAAGGAACAAATTTAGATGGATCAAAAATTCTTGCTACCTATTTTAGTTGTAGAATAGACTGCCGAAGGTGATAAATTTCTAAAACTCATTGCAGCGAAAATGCAAACTGAAAAATCATTTTTATCACTTGGCAGCCCGTTCTCAATAAATGTAATTACTTTCACTCAATGAGAATTCAGAATTTGTCAAAAACAAGAAATCCCTCGATAAAAAATACGAATGCAAAGTAGGAAATCACCTAAATGATTAACAAAGGAAAACCACTGGCGTAGGTCTAGGTACTTACTTACAGATTTTTACTTCTTACGACTAGAAGAGCTTCAGAATCTTGAAAATGAGGTTGAGACTATTTCAAGGTGTAAATTCAGTAGTAAAAGTTGACAAAACTTCAAGATATAACTCTCCGCAATAACTACCGGATACAATTTCCACAAAATATTAGCGAAGAAATATACCACCGAAAATTGTCACACTTGTTAAAATTATAGATCTTCCCTTCAGCAAACTGAAGCGCGATTCACACAGGATTTTACCACTATTACAGTAACACTGAGCTCCCTAGAATTGGGATATGGAATCAGAGAGATTATTCACGGTAACAACGTTCGAGCTTGCTCTCACTATTAGATAATTTGCGCAGGATAGGTTCTACATTTTACGGGTACAGTTTCCGCTATCAAACAGCTGTTTTTGTAACAGAGAGGGGAGATGTCAGAGACTGCAATACTACTCACAGTTGAAAACATTTATGAGTTAGAGATTAGATCGAAATGGAATAAAAACTGTATCCTCTTACACAGGCAGAACAAAGCAATTAAGTGACAGAATATAGTTCGGAATAAATGGACATTCTCGTGCCTACATTATCAGTATTTTAGTGTGGCGATAATTTACTCTGTGGGAAGATGCGTGGCAGGTAATTGATTCCTTTTCTTTGATTTAAGTTCTTTCCCTTAGTAGGGGGAAAATAAGTGAATTGCAAACGAACTTACAGGAGAGGGTATGAGCTCAGTGTACTGGTACCAAAACTGACAATTTTAACTTCATTCCCGTCGCATTTCTGGAAGTATTTGACAAGCGTTATCACACAGAACTTTAGAATCAATCGTGCACCACACAGAATCAAGAAAATAGATTGAAAACCTCCAAAATTAAACGAAAAACGAACACACGTAATGAGCGGTGACCAGCAATGACAAAGCAATTTAGAGACTAACCTCAATAAACAACGCTGAGTGGTGGCTTCGATCGCTCCCGAATATGTCGAAGGCTGGCGGCAACTTTAAATTCACGCACTGAATAAAATTGACGTAAAACATTATAATTTTCTGCGAATTTGCACCCCGTCTCAATTTTAATCCGATGGCGACGCCATTTTCCCGAACACTGAGTAACGGACTATCGGACTCCGGCCGGGCAGGTCGAAAATTCTGACCGTGGAAGCCGGAGCTTCCGGCTGGGCAGTAACCGATCGACCGACCTCGGAGCCCGTAGTACCCCTGGCGGACTCCGGCTTCTGTGCCCAGAAATTACGTTCTCACGACCCGGTAACATCGGAGTCACCAACATCGAGAACAACCGGGTCCAGTCGCCGGAGTTTTTTTTTTTTTGAGTGTAGTTTTCCATTTAAAAAATAAAGTATGACAGGAAGTCTGCGACGTCGCAAACCGAGTTATGTGATTGCCGACTTGCACCGTCGATATGTCTAACATTCATAGCAGAGTTACAAGACCAAAATCACAGATTTCATTCTCAGAGAGGGATGAAAAGTTAACAGAGTTATAATACTTTCAGCAATCTGAAAATGGTAACCATCATAACTTCCATCTAAACTGCGGTCGAAATCTTGTATAATAAAACCTCACTTGGTTGGCTCGTATGCTCACGATATAAAAATGACACCAAATACATCCTATATAAAACGAATGTTAATATATCTCCGAGATGAGGAACGGAATCGATGTCATAATATCAAGCGTCGCGTTGTCAGTTGGTCTCCCTCACATGCACGACATCGGGCCAGCATCTGACCAACTTTATGAAAAAGTGGGTTAGCGTGACAAAACCACTTGACCGGCCCTTGTTTGCTCAGATTCTCGGGCCGGGGTACGAAAGAAAAACAAATGCCTCCCTCGAGAAAGTCCCCTTTTTCGAGGTATTATTAGATGATGGGAGTGCACTCGAAATTCACTGAGGAATATGCAGGGGGTATTTTATGATTTGAAAGGACTGCCAAGGGACTTTTAGCGCTCGTCGTAAATAAGTAATATCCCGGGGCTCTTCCCCTCGGAAGGGACACTCGCTGTCCTCCCTTTTTAAGCGGTCCTTTGCGCGTAAATTTCGGGACTTTAACAACCCACCAAGCTTGGCCAATAAAAGCGACACAATTATTACCCATAATTCTTTACATCCGTTCAGCAACACCACATGGCAGTTAAGCGGGCCTTCTGCTCGCGTGGCTCTCGAAAAACAGGGTGGAGCGAAATGCCCAGAAACCTTTGCCGTAATATTGTAAATGTGGCATGTTCTTTACGAAAATCGTCTGTTTGAATTGAATTTAAGATTCATGACGACGAGCAGCCTCTTATTACTTTCTCTGAAAATTCCGCTACGCGTTTATATGTTTTCACGGTTTTACTTCCGGATTTCGTATGATATTTAGGGCCTGAAAAGGGCGCTTTTATGAGCACCTAACACTTAATTTTTGGGCGTTGAGATGCATGCTTTGTTTGAATCACACAAAACTTGAAATATAAATGAGGACCTTTTATCCCCTATTCAATTTATATTCCGTTCAAAAAAGCAAGTGTGAGAGAGATATCACGTAAAATACGTTTGCGGAAGAAACGCACTTTGAAAGTATGATAGAAGATTTATATCTTCACCATCTTCGTGGGCCTGAATTTATACTTCTAAATCTAAACTTTAATAACAGCTTATCTTCTGTCGCACTTTGAAAGAACGTGCACCTCTTTGGCGTGGCCTCTATTTGCAAAGTATTAAAAATATGTCAAAATAGTCAAATTCGTTAACCACCTGGATCAGTGGTGTATTGGTTGTAGCACTGGCCCTATTATCAGGAGATTTCGGGTTCAATTTTTAGCGAGGCGATCCGGGAGATTGTCTCAAAGAACGGTTGCCTGGGACTGGTTGATGGCTGGGAACTGATTTTGAGTTTAGAGTGGATTTAACTCTAAGCGCAGGATTACCTTCAAGGGTGCTTTAAGTAATTTCAAAAGAAAGTAATAGAAGAAAAAGTAATTACTACCAGAACTTAATTACGTTCATATGAAAGTCAACTTGCATTACAAATCTGGTATGGTCGCAGGAAATCTAGCCATGCTTATTGTTTTGTGTAGAAGAAAAGTCATCAATGGTTGAACATGTTTGATAGCTTAAGTAAAATGTCTGCATCCATTTTATTCTCTTTTTTTGACATCTTCATGAGTTATCACAATTGAAGTTAAGGTAAGACGCAAAGTGAATTATTAATGCCGCGAATCGAAAGGTTTCGGGAACTGCGAATTCATTTTACATTTTTGTCGATAACTGCCACGTGCTGAAATCGCCGCTAACGACTGCCACGCGCTATATTGTCTACCACTCGTTATTCGGCCCTTAGCCTGAAATTACTTCCTCAAAAGTTTTCAAAATAGACGTCTTCTGAGATACTAACATGGGAACTTATAAAAGGACCACAACGGGAAAAAGACATGCAAATTAAATACAAAGGATATCATTGATATATTCGATTACAGGAACAAATATGTTACGTTATTTTACCTTGATTCCTTGAGCGTAGGTTTCGAGGGCCACATACTAAAGCTGCCGCCATGAGTATAAGTGAACGGGGAGAACTGATCGTATACGCAATGAAGCACAAAAGTTGTCACTATTTGAAATATTTCGGATTTTGTTAAAATATTAAAACGTCACGGAAAAAAGTTTACGAAAATACAGATAACCACCGGCTGCGTCATCGTCCCGATGACACACTTCAGCACAACACGATGTAACTATTGACCAACACAATTCAATTAATGCAATTTACTGAATATTGAATATTTTTTGAATAAATTATAAATTGAATCAAGTGCAATACTTTCCCTGCAGCGTTCTATAACTCACGCACAGAGCGTGGCATTTCACTAATTATTTCACCTCACAATTATTTGGATGAAGTTATATGTATGCAATAAGGATGTGCCTACAACCTTGAGATTCCGTGCAAAGTTAAACTAAAACATGAATGCAAGTATACGCTTATACAGTACTCAATATGCGATTTCTTTTCACTCAGGATCAAGTGCAATGTCTAATCAAAATATTTCCTTTTCTGGGTGGAGGTGTCCGATTATTTTTTTTTTTTTTTTTTTTTTTTTTTTTTTTTTTTTTTTGCAAAAATGCAATGTACGCCCCCCTTCTCCCCTTTTCAAAGTTATTTCCAAATCACTTACGTAAAATTTTTATTTTACTGCGTTTTTGTACGGAAAGTAACTCGCATGCATATACATTTTTTTACTCGTCAGTTTTAACACATTCGTTCTTTCATATCGTTGCCCCTCTGACGTGAGGGCAAGGGCACTATGACGGTAAAACTGCAAAAATCGATGGTGTAAGTCGGCAATCACACAACTCGTTTGCGGTGTCTGAAAATCTCCGCCTCTTTGGTATTTATTTAAAGGAGAACAAAGTGACATCGTTTTTTGAAGTTTATGCAGAATTTTCTTCGCACAGAGAAGAACAATAATGGCAGTTTTAAAGAATTTCCGTTGAGTAGTTTTCCGTTTAAAAAAATAAAGTATGATAGGGAGTCTGCGACGTCGCAAACCGAGTTCTGTGATTGCCGACTTACACCGTCGAAATGTAAATCTCGGTTGCGATATTTCGAAAACCCTGCAACAATTTTAATTTCTAAAAGGTGAGCAAACTGACATCATGACTTGAAGTTTTCACAGAGTAAGTATATTTTAAAATCAGAGGAAAAATCACCGAACTTGTAAAGAAAATGACGTTTAGTAGTTTTCCATGTAGATAATAAAGTATGACAGGAAGTCTGCAACGCCTTAAATGAGCTATGCATTTCTAAAATTCTACTATGGGTATCTCTATTTCCGTAAGCGCAACGGGAAGCATCGAGTTATTCGGGAAACAGCGCTCAAAAGAAAATTGAGGTACGCCCTAACGTTAGATAGTGTTTTAGAATTAAGTAGTGTCCCTCTTCAGTTTAAATAATACAGTAGTAAAGTTCAAAATCATACTGACTAAAATTAAAAGTAACTTCAACGAGTAAAAGAAAATGCATGTATGTATCAGAGACAAGAGACCCTCCACTGGCCTCCTAGCGACAGGTGGAAGATTTTACTTTCGGGGATTCAACAGTTCCTTATGGACAATTATTAGGGAGCAACAGTCATCACCTCAATTTCGGCTGTTGACCTACCTACATGGTCAATGATGAGCTTCGGGTGACGTCATGAGCCAAACAAGTTTCGCAAACTTCGACCATTTTCGACTTGTTTGCGAAACGAAACTGCCAACACGTTGTTAAACATCAACCATGTAGGTAAGTCAACAGTAGAATGCTGAAGTCCCGAAAGTAAAAGCTTCCACAATGGCCAAGATACTAGTGGAGGGTCTCTTGTCTCTGGTATGTATAAAGCCGCTTTTACAGCGCTCTCTGGTGCTCTGCGACTCCTAGCCGCCAAAGTTCCTTATCCTCCCAAATAAAGTAAAAGAAGTCCGAGTAAGAGAAAATACAGGTTTGAAAGCTGGCTGCAAGTGAGTTCTTCTCATGATGTTTCAAAAATTATGTGTGTATGATAGACATTCTAAAAACTTACACACATTTAATGAGAGGTTGAAATATTGGCCAACATTTTTAGGATAATTATTTTGAGAGCCTTTTTTACCCATTCATACTAACGAATTCGGATTGAAACGGAAGAAAAAATGCATTCTCTAAATTCTCCCCTCTTTACATTTGCACCCCAATCACGAATGATTTTAAAGTAAACAACGCGCTTGAGGAAATCGAGGAATAAACAAATCCCCCGAAGGAAAATTCTTATCTCTACTGATATAGATAACACAAATATTAAGTAAATAATTCATATGTAGAATCAAAATTCATTCTACCTCCGTTCTCGCCTTGGGGATGTGAAAGTTTCAAAGTTTTCTCTTGATTTCCCTCGGCCTTTGTTTGCCTTAAGCCAATCTTCACCCCCTCGAAGAGAAATGCAATCGTCATTTTTCATGTTTTTTCTTCATGAGAATTATGCGAAAATTCACCCCTCAATACCACATTATGCGAGAAATATAATTTGATTAGGGAAACGACTTCACCTAAAATTTATCAGCGGAAATAAATGAAACCGTTATTGGATCTCCAAGAGTACGACCCAAAGACGTGAAATGTCGCAGATGAAACAACGAAACCGTGATATATTAGAGGCCAGAGGAGATAGATTTTTTGGGTGGATCAGCTGGTTTTTTTTTTTAGGAGAGATCGCGTTTGGAATGTAAGAATGTATGAGATCATGGACGCCCAACAGACTATCGTTTACATATCATTCAGTATGGTCATGTGCTGAGAGAGTTAGATGATTTTAACGTAGATTTTAGCCCTCCCAGGATAGGCCGTAAAGGGCTCCCAATCAGCCGTTGGAAGGGTGGAATTGAAAACGAAATGTTCCGACGCAAGATTCCCGCAGGTTCGTGGTTTTGATAGGGATTAAAGGTGGCAAGGGGTTGTAGAGCGCTAGAAGGCGATATAAAAGCGGCGTAAACGAATACGTAGATTGCTAAATATTTGATTTATGAATTATTACATAATCGTCGTATCTGCTTTATTTTAGGACTTCTGTCTTAGGAATGTGAACACATTTTGAGTAATTGGTCTTACTGCACATTCAACATACATTTGGCACGTATCCCAAATTAAAGACACGCGCGATTGAAGTGTCGTTGCATCTCAGCCTCTCTTGGTTCTTCAAGCAACTATCATTCTCAGGCAGGTGCAGTCATCATTTAATTGTTTCTTTTAATAGTTCCCGTTTGAAGATTAATTTGCACAGCACTCAGGCCTTTGATCTTTGCTTATTTTATTGTAGAGAATATCCTTCGCCACGTAGTTTTTAAAGTTCAGATAATCCTAGTCCATATTTCATTTGAACTGCTCAAAAGTATGGAAACCATTGTTTTCTTGGTTTTTACAAAAAGTACGCTTACGTGATTATATCGAACATGCATTGCTCATCACTTTAAATGTGTCTCAAAATTCTAAAAGCACCACGCCAAACGACACATTAAAAATATCATGAAAATATTCCATTAAATTATGAAAAGGAATAATCAAGGACCTGGTCTAACACTTTATTATTTACATGTCCTCCCAAGATATATTTATGCCTAAAGACCTTCAATAAAATTTAAAATATATATTCACCAATTATGTAAAAATAAAATTTCAATGAGAATCCAGTGAACCACTTTTGATTTTAATTCTGACGCCAAGGGAGATTAAACAAATATAATTATTGAAATTCATCCTGCTGCAACTTACTGTAAATTATTTTAATTTTGAATAAAATCAGATGATTTTTCGGTTTTGAAAAATAGATTTAAAAATGAAAAAAATCCGTCGTATTAGCCTAGGGTTTCGTGTGAGGACCGTTCGAATGTTCCACTCTTATTTCCGCTCGAAGTCGGAGCTCGGAGCCCGCAGCGAAGTTATTTTAAAACACGTGCGTTTAAAGTCCGTCCATTCGGCGAACTCGGAAGAAAACTTAGAAACATGATGAACGAAAGAGGAGAATGTTTTTGGCATTATATCCAACCCAATTACATTCGAGATCTGTTCCACGAGCGAAAGAACCGCGTATGTGGGAGGCGCGAGTTGGCGCGCGATCGCGTAATCCGCCAGCGAAAACCACCGAAGCGACGATACCTCTGGACGCGGGCATGAGTAAGACTGACGAACCAAGTCAGCCGCCCGGCGCCTTCAGCGCCCGCTCATGCGTCCCGCAACACCCGGGAAAGCGGACCCGGGTTGCCGTGATTCGAATGCCGTCGAGCGCCGAGTGTGTTGTTTGTTCCCGGGGGCCCCCGACTAAATCCTTCGGATTATTTTCATCTCCGAAGACGGGAATACTGCCGTGCTGAGGATAAACGCCGTATGAACCTTTGGGCGTTGCCAAATTCCCTTTGATAAAACGCTAATTTGCTGGAAATCCTATAAATATTTTCGCTCCAATTTTACAGATAGTTTTGTTCGCAATTTCAGCTATACTCCTGAAAATTTCATGGTAACATATTGATAGCTTTCTTCAAAAATGAACAATTTATTGAGGAAAATTTGGCAACGCTCGAATGTTCATACGGCGTTCTTCCTCAGCACAGCAGAATAAAAGGCTTGCGAACGAATGGATCCTAATTCCGCGCTGAAACGCCCTCCTTCCCGGAGAAAAGTGGGCCCGTTTAATTCGGACGTAATTAAGTTTATTCATTTTTCACACTTCCTCCTTTATTTAAATTAATGTAATTTTAAATTTAAAATACCAAATATTTTGAATGGGATACGTCCCAGCATGCCCGAGATAATGAAGGAATTAATCCCCAGGCGGGTTTTCCCCGTTTTAATTTTTTAAAAAAATTAATTGGTCTCTGGAGGAGCAATTGGGCGCGCTTGTATTTCATGTATTTTACCTAACTGTTTCCCATGATCGAAATTTGCTTTTCTGCGATACAAAATGTTTAAAGGATCAGTTTCCCGTAATTTTTCAAGATCAAGCATTTTATCAGATGCTGTGGGTAAGTTTTGTACTTAATTTTAAAAAAAGAAGAAAAAAAAACGAATTTTAAGTATATCAAAGCTTTTTATCTACAAATTATCGTCAGGGTATAGACAAATACAACTATATCAAGCAGTAAAGCAAGATTACGGATCGGCCATACCCCCAATTCTCATTTAACTTCAAAATCTCCAGTTCTTTTTTGCTTTCTATGTCAACATTCTCCTCCGCACACTCGACCATATTTTGCTACCTTGCCCAAAAACCTATGCTACGCGCATCAAAATTCAAAATTACTTTTCCTCCAAACATACATCTTTCAAGCTCTGATGATCCAGAAGTAACTGCCGAAATTATGAAGCTCCTCGAACGAGTAAATCTTAAAATTTCAGGTAAATTCCTACTCTCCAAACACTCTAAAATTAGGTTCAATTTTCGTAGTTCGTATGAATTTCGTACCACGTTCATACAAAGGAAAATCGCATTTATTCAGTTAACAAATGCTTTTATGAGCAAAAAGTCTGAATAATCCTTAAAAATATTTAGAGAATGTTCTTGATATGTCTTTTAATCAAGGCATTATATACTCATTTATGCTACCAGGGTCAGATCACCGTGATCAGGACGTTATTTAATAGCGTCAGTTCTCTTAAGCACGGTTTACGACTTGAAGTAGGGAATTAAATTATCATCGTAATACGGCGCAGCTGTTAATTAAAGATTACTAAAAACAGGAGCATAGTGATCCGCTTAGACTTCAACGAAAAAGCTGGCTAAAATACCCTGTGAAGCTCCGCACTATTCTCTTAGAATGACGAAAATTTAAATATTTGGAATATTTTAAAATTAAAGCTGGATTATTACTGACA